AAATGAGCTGTTTTAATTGTTTTTCCTATATCTTGCATAAATTTTTCTACGATACCGTTCGCTTGCGGATATCAAGGCGTTATTTTAATGTGCTTTATGTCAACATTTTTAAAGTATAGTTTTAATTCTTCGCTTTGAAATGGTGGTTCGTCGTCACTTCTAGTTTTGTTAGGATAACCAAATAAAGCAAATAATCTATCGAGTTAACTTATGACGCTTGAATCCTTTGTATTTTTATCAATAAGCCTTTAATAACGCAATAAACCTTTGTATTTTTCAACACTTAAATGTCCTCCATGCACAATTTGTAAAGCTCTTTTTTAAAGCGTCTTTGGTAGAACAATTTTTTCTCCTCGTAATATGATTCCTTCGTGATCAGTTAAATCATTTTGAAATTTACGATACGGTTCAAGTATTGGATTGTCATGCCATTTACCCGACAACAACGCTGTTTTTACTGTAATTAAACTGATGTCTGTTGCTGTCATCGTTTTTGTATCTTCGAGTAATATTGATTTGGGTGCCATTTTTGTCACTAAGAAATTTACATATGCTGTAACTTTATTTTCATTTGACTCACTGTGTATTTCATTTGGAGTACAGTTTCTAGAGATAAAATCTGCAATGTTCTCCGATATATTACATCAAAATCGTATGCCTGTAATTTGATTTGCCATCTTGCAATACATGCGTTTAATTTAGAACCAGAAAAAAAAATGAATTTGAGAGTTTTGTGGTCCACTATGACCTTAAAATTTTTCCATATAAATACAAATGTATTTTTTCAATAGCCCATACCAAGGCAATAGCTTCCTTTTTTATAATACTCTATTTTAACTCGGCTGCGGTTAATGATTTACTTATGTAGCAGATTGGTTTGATCCATGTTCCTTATTTTTGTAAAAGTATTTCACCTATGGCATGATTACTAGCATCAGTAATTAACTGTACTTCTTTGCGCGGATCATATAAAGCCAAAACGAATTCAATTGATAATTCACGTTTAAGCATGTTGAAAACGTCATTATGTTTTTTTTTTCCACTTAAACTTTGAATTTTTCTTTAATAGTTCTCGTAGTACTGTTGTTTTTCACTAAAGTCTTTAATAAATCTTGATACATATGTGCATAAACCAAGAAAACTTCGAAGCTCACTGACCGTTATTAGTGATCTTGCATTCTTGATAGCTTCTACTTTGTTTGGATCGGGATTAATACCATTTTTAGATATTTCAATACCAAAAAATTTTATTTCTCTTAAGAAAAAATACACTTTTTTTAAATTTAACTTCAGATCTAACATTCTTGTTTTGATGAACAAAAGTTCTAATTTTCCTAATAAGTCTTGTTTGTCTGATGCGTATATTATAATATCTTCACTGATAAATTTTACTCCCTCTTTTCTACCATAGCTTTGCTCCATAGTTTTTTGAAAAAATTTGAACCAATTGTTGATCCCATACACTAATCTTTTGTGTCGGTAGACTCCCTCATCCGTTTGAAAATTTGTAATTTTTTTATTCGATATCCAACTCTAGCTGAGTATAAGCTTCCTTCATGTCTGTTTGGTAAATATTTTTGAACCATACATTTCATCTATTACCGAATCTAATGTAGGTATTAGGTATCTTTCACGTTTAGTTGCTTCGTTTATGGTTCTTGCATCAAGACATAACTTTACTGTCATATTTGCTTTTGGTAAAATTACAAAATTACTTATCCATTCTTGTGGTCCTTCAACTTTTTCAATAATGTCTGCTTTTTGAAGTCGCTTTAACTCTGTCTCTTCGAAGGTGATAAAGATAGCTACGCAAATTTTGCGCAACTCTTTGTATGTTTTTGTCTATATAAAGTTTTCATTGAAAGTTTTTTAATTTACCATGTCCTTCGAATATGTCTTCGTATTTTGCAATAAACTTAGTCAAATTATTTTTGAATTTTAAAGTGACTTTACAATTTGAATATGCTCAAAACTATTATTATTTTGATTAGTTTGGAAGTTTGATTTTATCATCAATTTTTTTACGCACGTTAGAATGCTCTACAGCTTCATCTGACATATTATCCACTGAAATCATATAATTGTCTTTATTAATCACAAACTTTACACTTTCTGCACTTTTTAAAATGTTCAATTCCTTAGCAGTTTCAATTCCCATTATATTTCCAACATTATTTTTATCTACGATATATATATTGTTAGTTGTTGTTTTGTTTTTAGCTTCAATCTTAGCTTTGAAACAACTTATTAATTTTAAAGGCTTCAAACATATAGAAATATGGTTGTTAATGATTTCTTGATTATTAAATTAGGATTGTTGTTTCTAATTTTTTCAAAGGTATTTTTATTAATTAAGTTCATTCTAGAACCTGAGTCAATAATCATTTTTATCGTGACATTTTCCACTATTACATTTATTGATTTTGTTTTATTAGATTGTCTTTTTCGTGTTGTACTACATGTCAGGGCAAGCGATTCTTCTGATTCATTTTCTGAGCTGTGTTCACTTTTAGATTTATAATTTATTTCATTAACTTGTCGGTTTGTCCTACAATGGTGGAAGAGTATTTCGGCAACAAATAGCTAAATGTTTTTTCTTTTGACATTTGAAACACATTGTTCCAATAGCTTTGCAATCATTTTGGTGTCCAACAAAGTACTTCTCCCCATATCGAAAACAAAACAAGTTATATTTATTTTTGCCTATATTATCATTTCGGCTAGGTCTCGATTTAATGTTTGTCGTACATTTGCATACATTTGCTTTTTTATTAGATATTTTTTTGCTTATTGTTCTGACACTTCCATGTTTCGACCAATTTCGATACATTTCTCGAGATTTATTTTTCTATCTTCAAGGAGTTTTTGTTTTAATTTTAAAGAATAACACGACGATATGAACTGATCTTTCACTGCCTCTGTAACATTTGGAAAGGCACAATACCCCGCTTATTTTTTTAATCGCGTAATGAAACTCAATATACTTTCCTCTTCATTTTGTTTGATTCTTGTAAAGGTTTGTATGGTATTTTTTTTTTGGACTGAAATATTGATCCAGCTTATCACATATTGCCTTGTATTGATCGGTGTTAGTTCCTTTCAGGGTTTTATAGATTTCTTTAACAACTTTCCCTGCTAGATGCAGAAGTAACGCCTTTTTTGCTCGTCTTGAGTGACTTTAGTTGCTAGATATAACTCAAAATCTTCTTTCCATGTTTCCCACTGTTTATCTAAATTAGTTGTGTCGTTTTGATTTACAATAAACTGTTCTACTCCAGGTAAATTATTAATTATTTTTGCCATAGTTTGATCTTCGTCGCCAACTGTTGTGTTCACTATTTTAAATATATAACTACTAACTCTTATTTTATTTGTATTAAAGATTTATTATAATAACATACATATGTACAACTAGTATTATATAAACAACCATAACTTACTACAATATATTTCTAACTAACGCACGAGTTCTAATGCGTTTCACATAAACGCACTCTTACCAATCATAATGTTATGTATTTCGTTACCAACTCTCAACAATAATTGCAAACTATATGCTAATGATAGTCAGTTGGTTGTTAAAATAAAAACAGTTACGGACTTGTCGTTAGTCCGAAAAAATATTGATATGTTATATAATTGGTCATGATTTTAGTGCATGGAACTTAGCATAAATAAATGCAAGATTCTAAAGTTCCGTGGTGGTTCCACAGACTTCATTATCCCCTTGACAAAGTTAGATAAAAATGGAAGTCACATTCCTATTGAAGATGTTTCTATTGAAAGAATATTGGGTGTTCTGATAAATAATAAACTGAAATGGTCAAAACAGATTAGTGGTGCCACTATTAAAGCTAACTATGTACTTGGGATACTCAAAAGAACTTTTAAAAAATGGAATCCAAGTATGTTTGTGAAGCTCTATACAGCATATGTAAGACCAATATTGGAGTACTGCACACCAAATTGGTGCCCTTTTCTTCTAAAGACATTAAAAAGTTAGAATCAGCCCTACGTAGAGCTACCAAACTTGTTCCACAATTACGTAGCTTGAACGAGAAACGATTAGCAATTCTGGGTCTCAGCTCATTAGCTGAACGTAGAATAAAAGGAGATGTAATCCAATTTTTTAAAATTTATTAAAAATTAAACATTGTAACTGGGAACAGCAGATTAACCAAGCAGTGCTCTTCTATGTGATGGACCTGCAGGTCATCATTGTGGTGCGAAAAGTAAAAATAAACTAGAATTATCGAAAAACTCTCAAAGACATAACTTCTTTAAAAACCGACCTGTGTCATCATGGAACGCTTTGCCTGCTCGGTAGTTGCTGCGAATTCAGTTTGTAGTTTCAAAAACTATTACGGCAAATGGAATCGTTCTATCTTACGTCAGTCTACTATAGTCGGGTCTCGTTAGACATTCGGCTCATTGAAGTCAAACTTCTATTGTAGAAAATACTATAATAATGATAATAATGTATATATATAATGTGTATATATATATAATGTGTGTATATATATATATATATATATATATATATATATATATATATATATATATATATATATATATATATATATATATATATATATATATACATTTGTATTATGATATATTGAACCGATTATTTATTTTCATATGCTAAATATTTGTTCATGAAGATTGATTGGTTCAATATTTATTAATGATTACTTTCACTATTTGATTTGAAAATCAGCATTCTTAATTAAATATAATTTTGCAGATACTTTACAGTAGTCGCTTTATAAAAATTATAATATAAATTTTAAAATGGTATAGTTTGTTTTATATTATGTTTTGAATTTTATAGAATAAAGATTTATAAATAAATTACCCTAAACTTTAGTTAATTAGTTAGTTTTTGTATAAATACTTTTAATTTATAAATAAACCAAAATAAAATAAAGCAAAAAAATAGCAGACAAATATATTTGTGTATATTTTATCAGCTAGCATTTAACCTTAGTTTGTAATCCATGGCCAAAAGTCCATTTACAATGCTACTTTCGCAAAAATTCTCTATTCAACGAGATGAAGCAAAACTGTTAAAGATTAACGATAAAAGCATTAATAAATACAAATCAACACAAATATTTATTGATGAAAGCATCGGGAAAAAGTTACCGGCCAGTGACAAATCTTTTTTATTGCATCAAGCTGCAATTGAAGGTTGCCTTGAAAAGATTCAATCAATATTCTATAATTTTGAAGAACACGAAAGAAAAAAAATAATATCTTCAAAAAATTTTGAAGGATGCACACCATTGCATTTAGCATCTAAATTTAATAAAGTCAATATCATTATCTACCTATTGGACAATGGATCCGAAATAAATGAAAAAAGCAAAAAAGAAAAGAATACTGCGCTACTTATTGCAGCAAAGTAAGTTAAAGCTAATAGTAAGTTTTTAAGTAAAAATTTATAATGTATTTTAATACATACAGTATGTTTTGTTTTTTGGTATAAAATTTAATTTTTTAAAAGAAAAAAAATGTCAGTTAAGACATAATATTTTTTTTGTAATAAATAAACTAAACACTGAACGAAAATTAAACGAAAATTAATTCCGATCAATGAATTTAAATTTAATATAAAATAGTAAATTGAAATATTTTATTAACTCATTACCCCATGTTTGGAGTTTAGGCTGGGAAAATATTTGAGTAATTTTGTTCTCAGGCTCCAGTCACCACATATTTTTGTAAAACATTCTTACCTTATTTTTGGAATTTTGAAAAATTTGGAATTTTTACAATACCTGAAATTGTCGTTAGTAATGTATCAAAAAAATCCTGCTTCCACTACAGGGATGTACCAAAACACTAAAAAAAATTTTTTTCTTTTTTTTTAATTATTTTTAAGGTGCCCCAAGAGGTTTTTACTGTCTTATCACAGAGCAACGCGGGAGAACATTTAATAGGAAGTTCATGCTTTCTTCCTAATAGATGTTGCAAAACTTGCTTAGAGGTAGAGTTCGAACCAAGGATCCTTTGTTTTTCAGTTAAACTTTTGATCCTAGTAAAAAAAAAAATAAACAAATAAAGCTTTTAGCATTAAAAAAAATTTCAAGGTAACTTGGTGAATATACTTTTTGAAAACGTTTTTCAAGGACTTTACTTCTAACATTCTAACGCGTTCTACTTTTATACTTCTAAGTACTTTCGTTTTATTTAATTATTTTAAACACAAATTTGTTTTAAATACAAAATAACTAATTGGGGATTTTAATTTAAAATATATATGTAACGTTTATATTGTTTATATTATATATATATATATATATATATATATATATATATATATATATATATATATATATATATATATATATATATATATATATATATATATATATATATATATATATATATATATATATATATATATGTATATATATATATATATATATATATATATATATATATATATATAATACTTTTTAAAAAAATAAAACTATTCATAAAGATTAATTTAGTAAATTTAATAAAAAAATAAGCATGTACTTAATATTTCAGATATAATATGACAGACGCAGCGAATTATTTGTGTGAACGAGGTGCAAATGTTAATTTAAAAAATTCGCGAGGATTAACTGCACTTCACTTTGCAGCTCGAAAAGGAAACGAAGTACTTTGTACAGCTTTGATGAATTATGGTTGTGATGTAAATTCTGCAGACGACGGAGAGGTATTTTTTTTAAATTGGGTTGCTTTAACTTGTTATTCTATTACCATGACCAAGTTTGTCATCGCTATAATAACCAATAAACATTCAAAAAAAATTTTTTACTACTTTTAATTAGGGAAGTTCAAACTTTACATGTTGAAAATTTTGAACGCTCGAAGAGATTATTGTGTGAAATATAAAGCTTATCAATAAATAAATGTTTAGTTGAGAACAGTAAAAAAAACTTTTTATCAACTCTTTTTTATCATTACCAAACATCCTTTGCTTTTGCGTTTGGGGCAATTATAACTTCCCCATTTATGGCTAGAAATATGCATTTATGGCTAGAAATCTCCCAGGCTTGTCTGGCAAATGTTTTGCAAAGCATATTTATTTGACATAAGTATAAAAAAAAATTTATATATATATATATATATATATATATATATATATATATATATATATATATATATATATATATATATATATATATATATATATATATATATATATATATATATATATATATATATATGCATTTTTTGGAGATCAGTGATTACTAGCTAGCACACCTACGTTGGTAAAACGCTACAACAATGTTGCTAGTAACGTCGGCACAACATCGGTCGCCAACAATATTTTAAAATTTTTTTGGTTACAAATGCGATGTCGCCAACAACTAAAATCCAAAATTGGCTCAATGTTGTATTTTAAGTTGGTAAAGTGTAAAATACAACATTGATTCAACGTATTGTATTTTTAGTTAGCACAGCGTTGAATTTTACATTGGCTCGAAGTTGCATTTAATGTTTAGCGGAATTATATTTAGTTGATATATATATATATATATATATACATATATATATATATATATATATATATATATATATATATATATATATATATATATATATATATATATATATATATATATATATATATATATATATATATATATATATATATATATATATATATATATATATATATATATACATACATATACAGGGCCGGCGCGAGTAGATGTCAACTTTTGCCCACTAAAAAAAAAAAAGTTCCTTGTTTTTTAAAATTTGCCGACTGCCCTCCGATTGCAGTAACGACATTTGCCGACTGATTGTCTAAATTTACCGACTAACTTGTTAAAAGGTTTACATTTGCCGACCAGCTAGTCAAAAAGGGTCAAATTTGCCAACTAAATGAACGAAAATGTCATTGATGGGGGGGAGTCACATCCTCCCCCCCCACACACACACACCTATCGCGCCGGCCTTGTATACATATATATATTATGTTAGTGTATTCTACAAATAGAAAGCTCGATGTTCTTAAAGAACAGAGCAATAATAAATTAGTATCTAATTATCACAGTATCACTTATCTAATTTTTATTTTTTTCTACAGCTTGTTTCTCCATCAGTAAAATCATTAGAAAGAATATCTAAACATCAAAAAATTCAAATCATAGAACTTTGAACTTTTTTGAACTTTGCTAGATTACTAAGTAATTTCTTATATCCAGTGTCTCTTTCATGTTTTTTTGAATTAGAAGAATTAATCGCTATTGATTAATGATTGCTTAGGACATATGAAACATTATCCCATCTTGTTGCAATATTTGTTGTTGTTGATAATTCATAACCTGTAGCAGCGTTTACAAGTTTTGAAACTCTTTTGAGATATTATAATTTTTTAGTAACTTTTAAAGGTTATCTTTATTAACTAATTTATATGGATTTTTGTAGGTTTTACTTAATATTGCATAAATTAAGTAATAACAGTAAAAAAAAGCAACTAAAAATAGAAAACCTTATTATAAAGCTAGCTATTTTTTATATTTTTTATTTATCCATTTATTTAACCATAAAATCAAAAAATACAAAAGTTAGGTTCGGTGTCACTCATATAGTTAAAACTAGTCAATGGAGTGATACCTATATAAAATAAACGAATAAAATAAAAAAGTATATAAACGCAAGAAAATAATAAAGAAAGTAAAATACATTAAAACAAGTAATAAAAAAATAGGAACATTACTTCGAACAAAAATATAAAAAAGAGTAAGGCTGAAAAAAAAGAAAAAAAAAGAGAGAATGAACGGATGAGATAAGTGAGAAAAAATGTAAGAGAAAACAAAAATTTTAAAAACATAAGTTCAGTAGGATAGAGTGAGAAAAAAATTTCTTTGTAGAAAAATATAAAAAAAGAAAAATAATGGCAAACTTAAATTAAAAAAATATATACATACACTAATACATACAATAACAAAGCCTATATTACGCATTACATAGATAAGTTAAACTAAAGTAAATATCAAGATATATAAAAAGTAACAACAACTAAATTGACGAAGAAAAATGAAAAAAAAACCAATACATTCAACATTTTTTATATACATAAATACACGACATATGAACAATGTACAAAATTAATTAAAACTGTTCTTTTGCGATTTTCATTTTGCTTTTTTTGTTCCAGCTTTTACCAACATTATAAAGTTTATGTTAGTAAAAAGTTTGAAACAGTTAAAAATTAACAAAAATCAAAATAAATGAAAAATATGTATTTTTAACGTTATTTCCTCCACTATTGGATTTAAAGTCGTTAATAAATTTACGCTTATTACTTGGATGACGTCATTATATAGTTACGAAGCGCAAACAAACTGTAACACAGGAAAATTAGCACAGATTATATCAACGACACAAATTATGTGTGTAACTATTTTTTATCCATTTATTTAATTATAAAATTGAAAAAAAGTTACAGCTTATTTGTAGCTTTATTTAAAATTAGGGTCAATGTCACTCGTATAGTTAAAAACTAATCATTGGAGTGACACCCAGGGCCGTCACGAGGAAATTTTCGACAATTTTTTTTTGCATATATTTCATATAGCTGAAATATAGCTATACAGAAATTTTCTGCTATACAGAAATTTTTGATCTAGAATTTGTATCATTCGTAACGGAAGTTGATAAGCTGATTGTGCAAACTGTTTTCTGATAAGGTGTTTATGTTTTCTGATAAGTGATTGTGTTTATGTTTTCTGAAAAACTGTTTATGTTTTCTGATAAGGTGATTGTGCAAACCACTTGTGCTGCCGCAGCAGCACAAGTAGTTTGCACAATCACCTTATCAGAAAACATAAAATTAACCTGCTAAAAAGAGTTCAACATGATGATGCAGAAGCTAGCTGTTCTAATATCAACACCACAACTTCCGTTAAGAATGATACAAATTCTGGATCAAAAATTTATTTTTATTTCAACATTATTAAAACGATTGATGACTCATTTCCAGCTGTTTTAGCACGACTGATTGCACGAGATTGTTCATCATACGATCTTCAGCAATTATTTAAATCCAAAGGATATGATTGCCCAAAGTCTCTAAAAACAATTAAGAAAATGGTGTTGCAGTACGGTGACAAAATTTAAAAACAAATCGTTACAGAATTATCAGAAAGAATAGCCCGTGGTGAATTATTCAGCTTGACTTTCGATGAATGGACATCTTTCAAAAATCGAAGATTTATGAATGTGAATGTCCACTCGTATGATAATGTATTTTTAAATCTCGGATTGGCTAGGATTAAAGGATCAATGCCTGCTGAAAAATGTATAACGTATCTTCAAAATACACTTAAAGAATTTAGTATTGCGATAGAAAATATAATTTCCATTACAACGGGTGGGGCCGCCGTAATGAAAAAGGTAGGCAGATTACTGGACATAAATCATCAACTTTGTTTAGCCCACGGCATCCAGTTATCAGTAATTAAGGTGTTGTATGAAAGATCTGTTTCGGATAATATTGCCGTCGAAAATCAAGAAGTGGCTATTACTGAATTTGAACATGGTGAAGATAAAAAGGACGATGTAATGGAAGATATTAGGGTTTTTGACGTTATTGAGGATACATCAACTACTGATTCATCAATTCAATATGAAAGTATAGGTCCAATAATAACAAAAACTCAAAAAATTGTTGTTATATTCCGTAGATCACCAACAAAAAATGACATCCTCCAAAAACATGTTAAGGATGAATTTAAAAAAGAACTTACGCTAATCCTTGACACAAAAATACGGTGGAGCAGTATGTTGATAATGTTGGAAAGAATTTATGAGATTAAAATGTATGTTCGTAAGAGTCTAATCGATATCGGATCCGATATAGATTTATCAGAAAATAATCTCAATATTGTATCAAATATAATAATGGCTTTGCAACCTGTTAAAGTAGCTGTGGAAGCTCTCTGTTCAAGGGACACGAATCTATATGTTGCAGATTTGACAATTAGGTTCATGTTGGATGAACTAAGTAACTAAAATAATTTCTTAAATAATGAATTGAAACAAGATTTAATATTTCGAATAAGTGAGAGAAGAACCATATATTCTGATATATATTCATATCTTCACGAACCATGTCCACATACAGCTTTAAATAATGAAAATAATTATGGTGTTTTTAATACAACAAGTAAATTGGTTATGGAAAAAAACATTGTAGAAATCATTCAACAATTTTTGAAAAACGATTCCGAAACTACTGAAGCTGAAGTTGTGCAAGTGTATGAAACTGAATCAACTAGTGAATCTACGGTTTTATCAGCAGTGGCGACATCAAGTCAAGCAACGTCAATGAAGGAAAAACTTGATTTAGTAATTTAAAAAAATGATAACTATTGCTCACGAAGAGATTAGTGATCCGAAGACAACATCCGGTCTTTTAAATATAGTCAGGAAAGAAATGGCGTATTTCAAGGAACAAAATATTAAATGAAAATACTTAAACAAACTCCAAAAGTATATTTCAGCAGTTCGCCCAACCAGTGTAAAGTCGGAAAGAGCTTTTTCTGCAGCAGGTTTAATTGGCACAAGGTACAGAACAAGTTTAAACGACGAAACATTAAATGTAATGTGTTTTTTAAGAGCTTACTTCAATAAACAATTTTTGCTCCTTGAAAAGAATTGTCTATATTAATTATTTTTATTTTAAAAATGAAGTTTTCTTTATGTTTATGTTTGTTTATGTTTACGCTAAAATACAAAAATTTTAATGTATAATAAATGAATTAATTATATTTTATTATGTAAAAAAAATTTTATTTTTTTTACATAATAAAATATAATTAATTCATTTATTATACACTGTTTAATTTATTTATTTTTAACTAGGATGGACCTGTAAATTGATGCTGTTTTACTAATATATTCATTTGTTATGCTTTTTGTTTTTTTCAGTGTTTAGGTTATTACTATTTAAGCCTTTAGAAAAAAAAACCCGGTAAATTACCGGTTACCCGGTAATATTTATATTTTTTTTTTACCGAATTACCGGTTTTTTTAAATATCGGTAAATTTACTAGCGCTATTCAAATCAAACTAAAAGCTTCGAACTAATTTTTTGCAATTTTTTTCAAACTGATGATATTTTAATTAATGATAAATCAGATCTATTAGAAGCTTAAAAAAAATTTGATAATATTTGTAATATAATTGAGAAAACCTTTAATTTCTATTTTTATTTCACAATATAATAAAAAAATGCAATCAAGAAAAAAAAAATCTACATATTAGGAGACTTAAATCTCGATTGCTTCGAATACACGTCATAAAAAAAATAAAATGTTTTATAATGCTTGATTTGAAATCAAATTCATTCCCCTAATTAATAAACTAACTAGAACTATTCAATCAACAACATTTTTTATATATAATATAATGACCAATGGTTTATTTAATGAAGCTTTTCAAAAGGGCGTAATTAAAAATGATATCTCAGATCATTTTCCGATATTCTTTTCAATTTATAGTATTAATAAAATATTGCCGCATACAAACCAATATCATATTAAACGTATTTTTAATGAAGCAAATGTAACATCATTTAAGGAACAACTATCTTTACTACATTGGGAAAATTGTAATATTGTAGATGATGTAAACTTAGTCTACAACACTTTTTTTAAAACATTCTTTGAAATATGCCCACAAATAAAAATTAATCTTAAACCAAAAAACACTATGGATTACCAAAGAACAAAGAAATTCTTCAAAAATTAAACAAAAAGCCTATATTAAATATTTAGAATCAAAACCAGTAGAAAGTAAAACTATTTATAAAAATTACTCTAAAATCTTTGAGCGACAAAGAAAAAATCCTAAATATAAATACTATACTAATTTGCTAGAAAAATATAAACTAAATTCTAAACGCACTTGGGAAATCATTCGAGAAATTAGAGGCAGTAACAAAATAAAAATATCTTTGCGCAAAACAATTCAAATAAACGAAGATTAATTAAAACAAAAATTAATAAAACGAAGATTCTTGAATAATCAAAATATGATAGCTGTTGAACTAAATAAATATTTTGTATCTATTCGCCAAAACCAGGCCCAAAAAAATTTAATTAACTAATACTGACATCAAATCTCAATTCCTTTGAGCTAACTTTAGATAAACTTGAATGTGCTTTCAAAATGCTCAAACTAACAAAGCCGTTGACCATGATGGTTTTAATAGAAACATTGTTATTAATTCAAATGATGTTTTAAAAAGTATTCTTTTTAGGATATTTTTAAATATTCGTAAGATACGAGTTTAAATCCTGCCACCGCCAACTCAGCGCTTGAGTAGTATTTCGGTACTCAAAAATGTTGCTCAATAACGCACGCTACTTTGGATTAGTCTTAATGACTATTTGTGGCTGTTCCTATGCTTAGCCAACAATATCTTCGGATATAAGAACATTGTATAAAAAAATATAGCATAAAAATTCAAATAAAATAAAAAAAAAAAAAGAAAAAAAAATTAAAAATAGCTAAGGTTATACCAATATTTAAAGGAGGAGATTTAACTAATATTAGCAATTACCATCCTATATCAATTCTTTCTATTTTCTCAAAATTCTATTATAAAATAAAAAATATTTTATAATAGAATATATTCTGTTATAAAAAATATATTTTATTATAAAATGTTCTTTATTTTATTATAGAATTTTGAGAAAATGGAAAGAATTGATATAGGACGGTAGTTAAACAAATGAGATTATTATTTAATAGGTGATTATATATTGTATAATCACCTATTAAACAATAATCTTATATATAACAACCAATATGGTTTTAAAAAAAAAAATTGTACGGTAATCCAATTTTCAAGAAGTATAGTTGAATCATTTCAAAATTCCCAATATACTTTGGCAGTTTTCATAGATTTAGCAAAGGCATTTGATACCATAAATCATAAAATTCTTATAAAAAAGTTACAATATCATGGAATAACTAGTAATGTTCTAAAATGCATTACAAACTATCTAAGTAATCGCAAACAATGTCTACCTTGATTCAAATTGGCATAGAAATTTGCTTGATATAACATTTGGAGTATCTCAGGGATCAATATTAGGACCTTTACTATTTCTTATTTACATCAATAATCTCTATAAAGCCTCAAACCTAATGACCATTATGTTCGCAGATGACACTAATCTGTTTTTATCTCACAATAACATAAATTATCTATTTGAAAACATGAACAATGAACTAATTAAAATTTCTGATCGGTTCAAGACAAATAAACTCTCTTAATATTGATAAAACTAAATGGATTTTGGTCCACTCTTAGTTTAAAAAATACTTACTACCAAATGACATGCCCTTTCTTTTTATTGACAATACTCTTATAAAAAAAAAAGCTTTACCAAATTTTTATGCGTTTATTTTAATAAAAACCTCTCATGGAAAATGCACATAGAAAATTTGGACAATAAAATATCCAAAAGTATTCGATTACTATGCAAAACAAGAGTAATCCTAAATAAGCACACCTTAACTCAACAATCAATTAATTGTTGTCAAGATCTTTCTATCTTTTTTTATTATTATTATTATTTATTTTTTTAAGTATATCATGATTGTCTTTGTCAAGCATTGATTGTCTTGATTGATCTCATTGCAATGAGATCAATGAAAACAATCAATGCCTGATAAAGACAATCATGATATACTTTAAAAATAATAATAATAACAAAAAAAAGATGGAGAGATCTAGGAGATCTTATCTCAAATGTTCTTAAACATGATGCTCAGGTTTTAGCAGCTGTGGTGCTCTAGCTGTGGTGCTCAGCTGTGGTGCTCAGCTGCTCAACTGTGGTGCTCAGCTGCTCAGCTGTGGTGCTCAGCTGCTCAGCTGTGGTGCTCAGCTGTGTTGCTCAGCTGTGGTGCTCTCTAAGGAGCGGTTAGCGCAGCTAACCGCTCCTTAGAGAGGCTGAAAAAAACTATTTTCAGCCGTAGTTTTCACTGTGAAAAGAAGTGTACACTACGTATGTTTGTCCTCACCTAGAGTACGCTATCCAAGCGTAATCACCTTATTAACCAGGGGCGCACAGAGACTTTATGATGCCCGGGGTAATTTATTAAAAAAATTACTGGATGCCCCCCTCTAACCACCATCAAAATAAAAATAAGAAAAATAAAGCTCTTAATAATAGCTTAACTTTTCTTATTTTTTTATTTTTTTAGTTCTAGTTCAAAAAATAATTTAAAAATTCTATATTTAAGTTCACAATTCAAACAATTATACAAAACCAAGGAAAAAAACATTTCTGGATTTGGTATAAATATTTTCTGACTTAAACCAAGAATTCACGAACTTTTCTAGCAGCAAAATTGGAAGTTACAACTTCGTAATTAACTTTCTTAGCAAGATCTGTTTCGATTTTCGAAGGATAAGACAGTCGCTAAGACAATTCTGTCCCATGGTAGTTCCTAGAGTCTTCTTGACGAGAGCTAACTTGATAAAAGATCTCTTGCCTTCAGCCACAGATACTAGCAAAGTAAGAAAGATAGGAAGACAGATATCTGGTGGAAAATTTCCTTCAAATTTCTTTGCATAAATACAATTCAGAAGACCTAAGAGCCGATCATTTGTCAGTAGATGGCGTTAAACAGACGAAAAATGGCTGAAGTCATCAATAAACTCGTCTTCACTAAGATCAAGATACTGATAATTTTTATTTGTCAGTTGATGATATCCCATAAACGTGATGCCCGGGGGAATGTTGATGCCCGGGGTCAGTTAATGATGCCCCATAAACACAATGCTCCATAAACGTGATGCCCGGGGTCAGTTGATGATGCCATTTTACATAGAAAAGGGGGCGGGGTTATTAATAGTTGACGTAATTATAAATATTTTTTTTCAATTTATATTTTTAAATATTTTTATTGTTTTCACTTTATTAGTTAATTGTAAATCTTCTATTCTAAACAATTTTTTTCCTATTTTTTCTATTTTTCAGCATGTCACAGTTAAAAAAAATATTTCCACTATTTGCGATGTTATTACAAAGTATGAGTGCAAATTAGAGTCTTGAATTTCTGAAAACTTTTACCGGAAAACTGTATTACTAGGAGACGTTATTGTTATGCACGTTGCCCATCATTAAAGATTTGATTTTATTAAGAAAGACTTTCTCGATATAAACTTTTTAAATTTAGAAAATTGAGCTTTTAAATTTATAGTCATTACTAAAGAAGGACTTTTCACAATACCTCTGCCTACTCTAAACTAGTCGTGTCATAGTATTTGACACGTCTAACACAAAGTAGACAGCATTTTAGATTAGTCGAGTAGAAGATGAAAAAATCTATTTCCTCGAAAAAAGCAGTACTTGGGAGTATGGATTCAAAGCTAAGACGTATTGGTTTTTTATTAAGTCTTAATGAGTTTCATTTAACATGAGTATTTTTCGTAACTAGACTTTACTAATAAATTATTGGTGCATTTTTTAGTGTTAATTTTAGTTTTTAGTGTTACTTTTATATTACTTAATATAATTAAGTAATAATAAAAATTAAATCTAACTTTTTTAAAGAGAAAGGTTGAATAATAATCTTTTCTTTACATAAACGAATTTTACTTTTTTATACATTATTTTATTTATAATGAAACTGTTTCTTAATCAAACAAACTACTAAATAATTTTTTTTTAACTTGTAAAAAAATGATAATAATTAAATTATTTTAGTAATATACTTTTTTTTTCTAATTTATGTTTAAGCTGGACCATAAAGTTTATTAGGCCTTAGATAACTAAGTGTTATATAGTATATATAGTGTATTTATATCATATCGCAACAAGTTTTAGCATTTATTTTTTTATCTATGGCAAAAATAATTAAACAAATATATTCGATAAATTCCTAAACACAATATTTTTGTCATAATTGTCTTGACCACAAGATATCAATAAGATTTTTTTTAAAATAATATTATCTTATTAAAAAAGTATTTATCATTTTTTATATTAATCTTTCAGTGCACACCACTTCACATGGCAATACTAAGTGGCAGTGAAGCTGTAACAAAGTTACTTATAAAAAACAGTGCAAATGTTTATGTGAAGGATTCTGAAGGGAAAGGACCAATTCACTATGCTGCTGCTATTAATCAAGGAAAACTTATTGTTTTGCTGACTAAAGGAGGTAAAATAGTCAAAGTATCATATACAAAATAAGGTTTAAAATTTATAGGTATATTAAATGAATTGTCATTGAAAAAAAATCTTTTTTTTTGGAAATAAAATCTAGAAAAACATAGTCTTGTTAATTAAAGATAAGCTATACTCAGGGCTAGGGGTTAAATCTACTTGAAAATATTTATGGAAACAAATTGTTGGGCTAAAGTAGAATAGATTATTGGAACCTTTTGTTGGAACAAGTTATTGCAATATATAACTGTTGCACATTACTGCAACATAATATTGCTGTTGTTCATTATACTGCAACATTACATATTACTAAAATGAATTACTGCAACTATAGCTTGGACAAATTATGTAACTTATTACTTGAAATGCATTGTGATGAATCAACAATATAAGTTATAATAAAATCAAAGCTGTTTCAAAATGGAATTAAATGGAGGGGAACAGTAAAGACAAGTATTTAGATCTGATAAGTTGGGGTATAACCTGGAAGTGATACATAAACTGTAAGAAGATCAATTGGAAAAAAACAAAAGCTTATACAAAAACCATTAAACAAAAGCTTTGTAGTTTAGGAGTGCTTTTAGGATTTTTTATAATGGTAAAATTTTCTTTGTATAAAAACAATAGTTCAATAATATATATGTTGTTCAGTTCTCTCTATATATATTGTTGTCCATTAAACTTTAATGTAGGAGAATTAAGTGGTACCATCTGTAGATAAATGAATGCCTCTGTGTAAGATGTTCGAAGAGGTAAGCAAGTGAATTCAGAAAAATAAATGATACATAATTTATATTCCTTTAAGTAATGATGATAATAATAAGTAATGATAAATTATAAGGAATTTATATTTCTAATAATCTAAATTATATGGAATTTAGATCTCTTTAAAAATGATGATATAAATTGTTTGTAGTTTTATTTGTTGATTATTATTTTAAATAAATAATAAATAATAAATTTTAAATAAATAATGAATAAATAATAAATAAATAAATAATAAATAAATAATAAATAAATAGTAAATAATAAATAATAAATTTTAAATAAATAATAAATAATAAATTTTATATAAATAATTTATATAACATAAAGTGCAGTGATGTACTTCTTTAATGTACTGTTGATTTAAAAAAATAATAACTTTCCACAATAAAATTATAAAATCTAAAATTAGTAAAAAAGGAACCCATCAAAAATGAATAATCCAATCAGAAATTTACTTTTGATAAATCAAAACCTTTTATGTTATAGAAATTTCTGCAATGTTTTTTTTTTATATATATATATATATATATAAAATTAGACTATTTATATATAATATTGTTTAGAATTTGTGTTGCATTGACTGCAACAGGATTCACAACAAACAAGAAAACCTGAAAAGTCTTTTTTCAGAAAACAAACAAATAATCTAAAAAACTCACTGTTAACATAATTTGTATAACTCAACTAAAACTCAGGGAACTTTTTTGTTTAAAAAAAGTATTGCTGTTTTGTTAAATATTTAAGAATGATGTTTATCAAAAAGAAAGTTTTTTAAACAAAAAAATAGCAATTATAACAGGGTAGCCTTGCCTCCTAAAAAATCCTTAAATATCCAAATATTTGAAAAACATCCTAAAAAGACCAAATTTCTTCTAAAGTATAGGTGATTTTCTCAAATACTCCTAAATTCTCCTAATTTATTTGTCCAGAGTATAATACATAAACTATTATCAGCCAATCAACAATGAAGTTAATGAAATGGTTCAGACTTGGAGTTAATACTGTTGTATACTGACAGAAAATAAGTTACTCAAATGTATATTTAATATTTTTGGAATATTTTATTAATTTAAAAATTTTATTCTAATAAAATTTAAGCTTTTTTTTCTTATTTCTGCCTAAGTTCTAAACATCAAAATTATTTTTATTAAAACTTAATTTTAAAGTTGACCTAAAATAACTTTGTACTTTCAGAATAGAAAATGTCTGGCAAATAAAAAGCTAAATTTTAAAAGCGGTTAAAAGACAACTATAAAAATTTTTTATTTGGTTAAGTATAATGTTGTTATGTTAAATGTTTGATGATTTCTTATTTCCAGATATCTTTCTTTTACTACTCTTTTTTGCCATAAGTTTTTTTCTGAAAATATAATTTTGTAATACATTTGTTTTTTTAACTTTTTCAATTATCATCTATCATAAAGTTGAGAAAACCAGGACCAGCTGAATGCTAAATTTATAAAATAAACTATTCTGCATTTAGCGCTCGAAATAACGGCCAATCAATGATCAGCTAATTTTAAGGAAATTTCAAAAAATCCAAGGGAAAATAACCTGTTTTTGTGAAAAAATAACATTTGATTGGCAAGCTTTGAAAAACTATTTTGAGCACTGCTGCATTTTTTAACAATGTTTTTTTGCAAAATATATTCTGAAATTTTTAAATATGACCTAGGTGGTTGCAGTATGTTTAAAAGTTTTATCTGTTGCAGATCTGGATACAAACACAATGAATATACATGTTAATGAAAAAAACATGTATTTTTAAATTTTATATGTACTATGTGTTGGAAGTTTATGTCTGCTGCAGATCTAGATACAAACTTATTAAAAATACATGTTAATGAAAAAAATGTAAGCAATATATGCCTTTGAGTCATAAAAGAAATATAAACATTGAGCCACCAGTTGAGCCAAAAGTGTACACTCTGTATACTTAAGTTATATTTGTAATGGTATAAATTTAACTCTGTATACTTAAGTTATATTTGTAATGGTATAAATTTAACATGGTAAAATTAACATGTTAACGTGGGTAATATTTAACAGCAATTGTTTTGAAAATTTTTCAAAAGCCATTGGCAATTCTTGGAATTAAAATTATTTTTATTCACATTTTTATTTTACTAAGTTAACCTTAATGATTTTGTATTTTTAGATTAGAAAATGTCAGTCAAATATAAAACTAAATTTCAAGATCATTGGTTAAACGATAAAATAATTATAAACAATGGGTACAAAAATGTCCCAACAATTTGTATTCTGTAAAATGTAAGGTATGTTTAAAAGTTATATCTGTTGCAGGTCTAGGTACAAAGGCATTGGAAAAACATACTAATAATAACAAACATAAATAATGTATGCCTATCTGTGATAAGTATGCATTAAAAACTGTTGTAGAACCACCAGCTAGCCCAAAAGTGGCACTGTGTCCACATCAAATTTCTATTGTATTTATTGCTGAGTCGCAGTTAGCAAAAAAAGCAGAGATGATGTGGGCAGTTGATGTTGTGCTTTCAAAACATTTTTCAGAGATGATGTGGGCAGTTGATGTTGTGCTTTCAAAACATTCGATCAAGTGCAAACAAATCTGAATTATTTACTGCAATAATTATTGATTTTCTTTTTGGAAATTTTCTTATGGGAAAACAAAGTGCACTTATCTTGTGTGCTTTGGAATTGCACCATTTTTTAAGGAAGTGATCAGTTTGTTTGCCAATTTGATGAATCTTACAACCAAATTGTCAGATGGATTTGCATGTTAGATATTGAGACTCCTCATTAGAGATGGTAAAAATAAGATATTTCAACTTTGAGTTCTTGGGAAAAGCTGCTGTTGTCAATATTATGATAAATTTATGTAAATGTATGTGTGGTTTAGAAGAAGATAAAATGCTCTAGGTTTCCATAGATGATCCAAATGTTAGCATGTCTTTCCTCTCTAATTTGAATGCTAAAAGAAGTAAATATGAACTCAGTCAGTTAGTATCAATTGAATCATGCAGCCTTCACACAATGCACTGTTCATTCAATAATGGTACAAATACTTCAGGATGGAAATTGAACAAATTAGTATCTTCATTGTATAAGATATTCCATGTGAGGCCTTCTCGTCTTGCTGATTTTGAAAATTTTACTCAAGCTTAGTCTTCAGACTATGCTTTACAGTTCTGTAGCCATTGTTGGATTGAAAATGAGAAAGTAGCAAAGAGCTATGGAAATATGGCCCGAGATTATTGTAACTATTGACTTATGGAAAAATTTACCAAAAATCAAGCAACCTGGTCAATGTAAGCCTGGGCAAAATACTAGTTATGAATACCTTTCTTCATGCTATAAAGATGTATTAGTCCCTATAAATTTGGAATTTTTTAAGGAAACTGCAAAACTGTTATATTCTTTTTTGTTAGTTTTCCAAACCGACAATCCAATGACAACATTTCTTGTGGAAACACTTGAGAATTTACTGAGGCTGTTTTTATCAAAATTTGTTATAAAAGTTTTGTCTGAAGCATCCACAACTTTTAAATTATTAAAAGATGATATCAGTGATGTCAAAAATTAAGTGTTGGTTGCAAATATTGACCTTGGGTAGTTTTAAAACAGAAATTCAACGGTCTTTAGTTACAATGTGCAAACATATGGTTGAAAAAAGTGCTTTAAACTCATACTTTGCCAGGTACTTATTATGTTTATCACCTTTGCACATGGTAGAATCTCATGAGAAGTGTGAACTTTATTTTGACAAGTTGTTGCTGAAATTAATTGCTCATAAAAAAATATCTGCTGATCAAGCCAAATTATAGTATTCACAATTTTTAACTACTGTTGTGAAAATGAACAAGTAAAAATTTCTTGTGTTCAAATAAGAAAGTGATAGATTAGATTCTTTTTTGGCTCTATACACAGATGCTTCTAGATTCAAGGACTTAATAAAAATTTACCAGTTGTTACTAATATTGTCCCATGGCACAAGCACAAGAATAGCGTGGATTTAGTATAAACCTCTAACTTCTGGATAATATGCTAACTGATACTCTTAATGCACATAGAATTGTACATGACCATATGTGCAGTGATAATATAAAATCATCCCTATTGACTATGCCAACTAAACTTATGGAACATGTCAAACATGCACAAAAACTTTAGCAGATAAAAAGAGAAGTCCCTGAACACCTTAAAAACTGACCCTGATACTGAACTGAAATATTTTCTATTAAGTGAATTATTTTTTAATAAAGAGATTATTAGTTATAATAAACAAATTCACACCCTTGAGAGGTACCATCCTTCCTCTCAGATATGATGCAAATGAGTATGCTTTGCAAGCAGAAAAGCAGAAATCATTGATAGAAATAAAGTCAACAATTCTAAAATCTAATGCGCTAAAGAGTGTTGCCTCTGAAAAGCAGGACTTAATAGAAAAAATTACAGCAGCAAAAAAAAGTACTTATTGACAAGAAAGCTGAGATTTAGATTTGGATGTTTAAGTTTTTCAATTGTTTCGTTTTTCTGATTTTGTTATTTCTTTTTATGACTGGATAATATAAAACATAAAGTTTAGTTTGACTGTGTATTTTAATGATTTTTGATTATTGTTTGTTATTTAGTCTTAAAGTTATCTATTAAGTGCAATTTTCTTATATTGTAATTAATAATAGAAAACGCGGAAAACAAACTTTGACACTGTGGCTTTCAAAATATAGTTTTTTTACTATTTTAGATACTTTTCTGTTTACAGAATTCTTAAATTTAAAAAACAAAAAAAAAACTAGAACTTCCAATAAAAATCAACAGTTCACCTTTTGGATGAATTTTTTGGGTGCATCAAAGTAATATTTTTAGGCGACCTTTACAAAATTCGTGGTCTGGTACTGTCAGACGATCGCCAGTGTACACCTCTTACAAACATATATTAATTTTTTATAAAATTTGCTTTTTTAGCTCTTGCAATTGTTAATGAGGAAAATTGGGAAGACACGCAAAGAATGTATGTGAACTTAAGGACTGAAAAGAAAGAGAGTAATTTTAAAAAAGATGCAGCGATCCACATTGCTGCTCGGGCTGGTTATTTAGATACTGTAAAGACCTTGGAGTCAATTGGTGCTAATGTTAACATTTGTTCTGGTAGTAACTCCACCGCATTGCATCTTGCAGCTATTAATGGTGATAAAAATATGACTCAATATCTGCTGGAGCGGAATGCTAAAATAAATGTATATGATCATCAAAATATGGCTCCAGTGCATAAGTACATTTTTATAAACAAAAAATGATTATAGCATTGTTCTTTTATTTTCTTAGTTTTTTAGTTCAAACTTTTTTTTTTTTAATTTTATATTTTTTTATATTTTTATTATATTTATAGTAAATTTAAGTTTAAATGAGGTTTTATACTTTTATTATATTTATATTAAGTGCATGTAAGTTTGGTCGATTGGATATTTTAAAGATATTAATGGAACATGGAGCACAAATTGATTCAAAAGATTCTAATTTTTTTACTCCACTTATGTGGGCTGTTTCCAAAGGTCATAATGATATTGTGGAATACTTGTTGAGTAGTGGAGTAAATGTTAAAGACAGTGAAATGAATATGAAAAATGTTCTTCATTTAGCTATAGAAAAGCATCATAGTTTCACACTTCAAATTCTTTTGAAACACGGAGGAGCTTCTCTAGTAAATGATCCAGATAAAGATTTTAAAAGACCCCTGCACTATGCAGCCATGACTAATGGCGTCGAGGTAGTTTTTTTAATGTTGTTTTCAATTTTATTAAATTGTTTAAAAAAGCTGGCGTTTAGAGTTCAACTAAACAGGTTATAATGTAATAAAGGGTATAATAAAATGGTTATGTCAATCTTTATTATTTTACATGTGTTTTAATATTAAATAAACTTTTTGCAAATATTATTCAATCATGTTTTAGAGATGTCCCATCTAATTGAAAAGTATTGGGACATCTCAAGACCACCCTTGAACACTACTAAAATGACCATTTGAGCAGTCATGACCACTTCTAAAGACCAAATATGTCCAGATTTTAATTCCCTGACAGCAGTTACCTATGTTTAGGTATTTAACATGTTCTATCTAATTTAAAAACCATCAAATAAATGCTATGACCATCCTTGACAACCCCTAAAATAACCACTTGTATGGTCAAGACCACTCCAAAGTTGAAATAGAGCCCAAAAATGAAATACTTGACCATAAAAACCTCTATAAACATGTTAAATATGTCTATATTTAATCCATAAATAGTTTTGCCATTTTTATACAATTCAGGTCATTTTCTGACAATTTTTTAGAAACTTTACTTTGTATTGTATTTTTGTAAATAATTTTTGTGTTATGATTGTTTGTAACTCCAGGTGCTTTAAGTGTGAAACTCAGAGTTTTGTCTCAAACTTAATTGTAATTATTTAATCATGATTCTAATATATATATATATATATATATATATATATATATATATATATATATATATATATATATATATATATATATATATATATATATATATATATATATATATATATATATATATATATATATATATATATATATATATATATATATATATATATATATATATATATATATATATATATATATATATATATATATATATATATATATATTAGACCATTTTAAAATTGTTTATAAAAAATATAATTTTTGAATTTTAATTGGGCTACCCTCTAATTTGAGATTGTGTTCAGGAAAATAAGTTAAAAATTGTAAACTTAAATAATGTGTTTTAGTGACTGCTCAAGAGATTCAAAATTGTAAAATAAATGGTGAGAAAACAATAAACATTCTTATCCCATTAGTTTGATTGAATATAAATGTTACAACATATTTAATAAGTGTATTATACAATGTGTTATTAAAGTTTTTAGAACAGTAATGAATGCTCACTTGATATTCTGCTTTAAAGTTTTTCTCTAAAGGAATGGTCATGAGCTTTCTGTGATATTCAACAATCTGAACTGCCGTTCAGCTTCATCAAATGTTAGCACATTATTGAAGTCTGTTGCTAACTCAACAGCACGCTCAGCACAGTCATTGGTGACTATCATGATTGCTATTTTTTGCTTGGCAGTGAGATAGACAGGACAGAAAACCCATGCAGCTGGATTATAAGTAAGAAAAATATGTTCAATTTTAAGCGCAGTGAACAGATTCATTGATCTTTAAGTAACAAAAGATGACAAAGTCTTTTCCTGAAAGTTGTCAACTAATTTTGAATTAACTCTTCTGAGATCAGCTTTCATTGGTGGTTTCTTCAGAGCAACAATCATAGCTTCTTCCTCACTATTTGGAACCAAGTCAGAAAATAATGCAAGTCTAATCAAATCTTTGCTCAATTACCACATATGTCCTCTCATTTTTTTAATTGCAATATCTGCTACTTTTTGTCTACAGCAAGATAAGACTCGAGAGTTTGGAGTAGACAAAGGTCATTGTATGGAGCATCAGAACTGTTTGGAGCTTTAAGCCAGATTTTGGTATAAATTGTTATAATAAAAAGACAGATACGACAAAGATCTTGTAGTTCGTATGCTGTAAGTTTGAATTGTCTACAGAACAAATAGATTTTAAGACAGTTTTTTCCTTTTGCCATCCACCTGGCACAATGGTAGGCACCTGGAAGACTGAAATGAGGCAGATCATAATTTTCACTAATGTGATTATGGTCACTTGGTTGAGCTCCAGGTGATCTTTTTGTGGTTTACTTTTATGGGAGATTAATTCCTAAGAAATTCTGACATTTTTTTCTTCTTTTGGTTTAGCCATACACATTCACTAACTGTAAGTTTAGATTTGACTTCAATGTCAGAAGTCTCAATTGTACTATATTGGATAGTGTCAATAAGATACCAGTGTTCCTTGAACCGACGAAATATTCCAATCTGTGGTCCTGAAGACTGGAAAAACTGGTCAAATACTGCAGCCAAAATAATTTCAAGGGTATGATGCCTGCAGGTTTAAAAAAGTAAACATTTATCATATGCCTGCTGAACGATAGTAATTGCACCGTTGTGAACACCAGTGTTGGAACTTGTTGTGTCAAAACAAAGACCTGCCAGCCAATCTGGAACATCTTTCCATTTTTCCAATACTTTAATAACCGAGTTTCCCATAAGCTCACAAGTACCCATGGAAAGTTTAGGAATGCCCAATAGTTTTTCAACAAATATTCCAGTCTTGAAATATTTTTTTCACTTCAGTTGCTTTTTTTTTGCGATGCTCTTCTTGGAAATGCTGATACACTCTTTTTTTTTCACGTTCTTTAAATTTTAAATCCTCTGAACCCATTGCCTTTTTCCTTTTTTCTCTTTGGTCTTTTAGAAACATTATATCCTATTGAGTTTTTATAAGTCTGTCACAATCTGCATGGGACACATCAAATAGCATACTCAACTTATTTATCGAATCAGTTTCCAATTTTAACTGTTTTTCAGTTCCCAAGGCTTGTTATTTCCTATTTTATCATAAGAGTTTTACAATACTTTTAGTTTAGCAATAACATTCTTTTTTTGTGTTGTTGAAACATAGGCAATAAACCAAATTTGTAAAACCTCATCAATAGTATTTGAACAGCTTTGTGAAAGTTCCATTTTGTTTGTTTTCAAGTCACAAGGCGAAGTAGGACAAGACGAACTGTGGGCAAACAGCTTGAAAAACTTAGTTTAGCTGGAACTGGTAATTGATGACCACTTAGCCACACATTAGTGTCACATCTTGTTTTAATGACTTTCTTCTTTGAAATTTAGATTTTTTTTTTTTTCACTAAAAATACAAAATGTATATAAATTACGTATTCACATAAACATATAAATATTTTTGTCATTAATCAAATTAATTGAAACTTAGATGAATTAGCTTTTTCTCATAAGGATTACCTAGATTAAACCAATTACCAATTAAAATAAACATAGTTGTAAACAAAAGTTAAATTAACACTATGCAGTATACAAATGAGTTATTTTATCAAATTCAGTAGATTAGTTGACAAAAGCAGATAAATAAAGTTAATTGAGCTGTAACTTAATTTTGGAAAAATGTCATGAAATTTTGTGTATATATATATATATATATATATATATATATATATATATATATATATATATATATATATATATATATATATATATATATATATTAATAAGAAAACATCAAATAATACGAATTCTCTTAATACAAATGATAATTTATTATTAGAAATTTTTCTAATAATAAATTATCATTTAAAGTAAAATATCAATTTTTCTCACAACTTAATAAAAAACAGCGATTTTAAAAAACAGAGTATGATAATATATATCCTAGTGACCCTATCCCACCTTGTATGTATGGTCTAATTAAAGCTAATAAACCTGAAAAACCCTATCCTATGAAAATAGTTATATCAACTATCGGCACTCCTAATTATGGAATATCTAATTATTTAGTCAAGAAAATACAACCTGTTTTAAACAAAAATAAGACACGTCTGAAAAATTCGTTTGATTTTATTAGTAAAGCAAATTCATGGCAGATTCAAAAAAACGAGGTTCAGGTTTCATTTGATGTAATAAACCTGTATCCATCAATTCCACTAAAGGAAGCCACTTTAATTCTTATAGACCAATTAAATAAAGATGATTCCTACAAACATTCCACCAAGCTTACCATATTCGAAACAAGACAACTTATAGAACTTTGTTTACACCGTTTTTATTTCTTGTGGAACAATAAGATCCATGAATTGGAGAATTCCAGTCCTATACGTCTTTCAATTATGGTTGTACTAGCAGAATCTTTTTTACAACATCATGAAGAAAACGCTTTTAAAATTGCAATGGCAGTAAATCCTCCTCTTGACCTAAAATCCTATCTTTGATATGTTGACGATAGTCATGCTAGATTTTCTAACGCTCGAGAAGCAGAACAATTCCTATTATCTTGAACAAACAACACCCTGCAATACAATATACAATCGAAATTGAAAATGAAAATAGAACTCTAAGCTTCCTTGATTTAACCATAGTAAATAACATTAAAGGTAAATACAAGTTTAAAGTTTACAGAAAGGACGCCATTACAAATATTCAAATTAAACCTCACTCAAATCATGACCCCAAAATTCTAAACGCAATATTTAAAGGTTACTTTCACAGAGCTTACTCTATATGCAGTGATTTATATTTAGAAGATGAAATTAATTTCCTAATTCACGTATTTAAAGAGAATGGATACAACATATGTCAACTTACATGCATTGCAAACTTAATCAGAAATAAACGGTCCATAAAAAGCAACAAAATTCAATCAGGTTCTCTTAATCTCCCTACTGTATCATTACCATGGATACCATCATTATCCCCAAAATTAAGGAAAATATTTTGGAAAGTTGGCTATAAAGTAGTCTTCAAATCAAATCCTAATTTAAGAACACTTTTAACATCAAAAAACAAAACTAAATTGCCACAAAATAGTCAACCCGGAACTTATCTAATTGAATGTGAATGCTCAAAGAGAAAATATATATATATATATATATTATATATATATATATATATATATATATATATATATATATATATATATATATATATATATTTTTTTTTAGTGTTGACATCGTGTATAAGAGTGTATGTATATTAATAAGAAAACATCAAGTAATATGCATTCTCTTAATACAAATGATAATTTATTATTAGAAATTTTCGCTGGATTATGGTTACCAGCATCATCAGCTTGTAAAAATTAATACAAAATTTTTTAACGTTAAAAGCAGTTTAAAATTAACTGACATCAGCAATTGAATGGCTTCTTTCTTGTGTAAAAATGTAAAAAACGGAGTCCTAAATTTAGTTTTAACAAATTGCTCGTTATCTAGATTAATGCCACCATTTAAAGGAGAACATTGATACCTCTGTAATTCAAGAGCCTCCCACTTTATTTCAACAAATTGATATTACAGTATTTACCTTTAATTCAAGTTTATGATTATGATTAACACATTCAATATTTTTCCCACTTTTAATTCAACAAATTGATATTAAAGTATTTACTTTTAATTCAAGTTTATGATGATGATTAACATATACAAGTGTGTTTGTATGAAAGAAAATTTTTACATTTTAAAGCAAAAACTCAACTCTTACATAATTCAGAGTTCTTTAGAGAAAATTAATTGAAAGATTTTGCGTCGTTTCTAACATATCTATTAAAATATATAAATGCAGCACAATATTTAATCCTTTTTATGGTGAAAATATCAAAAAAAATAGCTACTTTTAATAAAAGCTTCAGCAAGGAAATGTCAGGAATTTACTGCTTATATAACTGCCCAAGATAATAATGGCCAATTAAAATAGTAAACAAAAAAATTGACTTCACTTGCAGTTTGTTTGTTAATAACTTTTGAAAAGTAAAAATTCATTATTTGCGTAGTGGCAATTTCGAAAAATAATTGAAAAAAAAAAAAACTTTTATTAATTTATACAAATATCTAAAAAATAAAAAAAATTAATTTATGTTTAATGATAAAAAAATAGAAAATTTAAATTTATAAAATTAGAAAAAAAAAGGAAACAATATAGACATTCACACAATATACACATTTAGGAAATAGCACATCTAAATTTGTTTTTTTATTAGTAAAATAATTTTGTTTTGCTGTAATTTATAATTTATTTTATTGCCGTAGTTTAAAGAAGTTAATGTCTTTAAATAAATAAGCAAAATAAAAATAATATCATTTTTTGTTTAGTTTTTTTTTTTTTTTTAATTTGGCAATTATTTTTGTTTTTGTTTGTTATCTTAATAAATATTCTTGCTTTTGAAAGATAATAAATAAAAGTTTCTTTTATGATTTTTTTTTTAAGCGTGGTCTTCTTTTTTCATTTGCTGAACATTTTTATAAAAAAGTTGGAATAACAAAAATAAAATTATCTGTTATTTTTTTGTAACTAATTATATTTGTAAATAGCACTTTTTTACATAACCGTCATTCAAACATCATAAGCTGTTTTTGTAACTTTAATTACTTCTTTTATCTTACCTCTTTAATGATTTCTTGAGACTTGTTTAAATATTGAAAAATTATAAAAAATGACATTTAGAGAAATTTAGCTCTTGCCCTCGCCCACACTTAAAATTTATATATTTTTACTATCCATTTATTTGTTAACAGCATTACTTATTTGATAGAACTCTTTGACAAAGAGCAATGAAAGTTTCTAATATTAAAAAAAAATGTTTTATATTTTCATACAAATTAAAATTTTTTTATTTTTTTGATAAAATCAATCATAACAAAACAAAAAAACAAAAAAAAATTTAAATATGAAAAGTGGTGCTAATAAAATAAAATTTAATGTGTAATATTTTTTAGTTCATAATTTTTATTTTAATTCGGCAATTATTTTTGTTTATGTTTGTTATCTAAATAATAATAAAAAAAAGAAACAAAATAGACATTCACACGATATACACATTTAGAAAATAGCACTTCTAAATTTGTTTTTCGGCAATTATTTTTCTTTTTGTTTGTTATCTAAATAAATATTCTTGCTCTCAAGATATAATAAAAGTTTTTAAAAATGTTTCGCTTAAGATTTCTTTTTTTTTGGTCTTTTTTTTCTTTCTTTTTTTGATAAACATTTTTGATTAAAAGATTTAAATAATAAAAATAAAATGATCTGTTTTTTCTTATGTCATAACATTTGTTGTACAAATATAAAATGTAATTTTATGTAATTGTCATTCAAACTTTATGAGTGGTTTTTATAACGTTAATTACTTCATTTATCTTATACCTAATGTATACTTATATATTTATATATCACACTAAACACTGATATAATAAATAATATACACTAATTTTTTTAATAAATATATTTTCAAGTCTGTTAAGATGCTTGTTGAAAATTCAGCTGATATTACGGTAACAGACAATGAAGAGAAAACGGCATTGCATACAGCAGCAGAGTATGGTAATTTTAAATGTCTAGTTACATTAGTTCAAAACTCATCAAGAAATATTAATGGGACTGATGAGAAAGGAAGGTCACCTTTGCATCTTGCTGCATATAATGGCTGGGTGTGAGTAAAAACTTTTTCTTTTTTCAATTTTTGAATCTTTTAATAATAATTATTCTACTACTCTGCAAATTTTTTTTTTTCATGCTGATTACAAACTGAGACTTTATTTAAAAAAATTCAATATAGCTGAAGTCTAAAGTGAGAGTATGTTTTGTTTAATGTCAGGTTATAATGGAAAATGAGATTTAATTAGTTTATAGCATACATATCAGGGGGAGATCTATATATGAAGCGGCTGGCAAAAGTTATGTGTTAGACAAACACATTTTATGCAAAGTTATATGTTAGACATACATCAGTAACTTCTAACTTACAGAATAAAGTACATTCAAGCAAAAAAGAAGCTGCCTTTTATTTAATTTTTTTTTAGGAACATATTTAATAACCAAAACATCTCTCTTCAAAAACCAGCAGTAGTCAGCTATCTTGATAAAAGCAGTCACCTTGTTCCTTGCTTACAGCTCCAAGATTTTCTAAAAAATAATGAAGGTGACTGTGAAATAAGTGAAAGTTTATGCTCGTGTTTTTTATAACTTATAAACAGCTTCTTAATCAGATTTTCATAGTTTTTAACTTAATGATTACCAAAAAAATCAGAAACAAAACCAGCAAATTAGTTCCATGCGTCAAACACATCAGGTTCATTTTTGTTAGAAACTTTGACCCTTAGCAGTTTACAAATTTGGAGCCATTGAATATTCTTGTATTTTTCCACTTGTGATTGCTGGAAATTTACTTGAAACAGTCTCCATCTTGATTTAATGCTTTCACAAATTGTTTCATTTCTCCAAGTTTTATATGCAGAGCCAGAAGAAAAATTTTCTGGGGTTCTACTAAGTGTGAATTAAGAATATTATGTTGGCTGACTACAAATTCATTTCTCTAAGGTTAATCTTTTTGTATCTAGTGACTTTTTCTAACTCTATTATCAAATAAACCTTGAAAATTTGACCATGAAACCATGAAAGTATAAGACATACTACTTTGTAAAATTAAAAAGTTGTTCCTTAAGCAAGCAGGTTTTTTTCAGATAATTTCAAACCTAATAACTAAGCTGACCAAATTGTTGAGCTTGCATTGAATAAACAACTGTGGTGACTGTAATCCTCTAGCAATATCTATGTACTCAAGATCATTACTATCAGACTACTTTACGGATGTGGAAATTTTATTGCTTTTCTTACTGTCAACCAACATAATGTAACAAAATTAGAAATAAGAATCTGTTCTGAATGAGGAACTGGTCGATTTTGTATTTGAACTGTATCCATTAACTTGAGCAATAAACAAAAATAACAATTATTTTTATGATCTTTTGACTCACTATAAATAATTGGAATACCAAAAGTTATTCCTTTTTTTCGCTTTTGTCTACTGTCATTGATTTTCAACACATGGTATACAAACTAAATGAGAAGCCCAATACTTGTTTCAATCTCTAAATTTTACTCCTAAATAAACTTTATATGCGTTCTTAGTGAACTTAGAGGTTAATGAACGTTGCTTTGGAGTTGTAACTGAATAATACCATATTTAACAAAAGCAATTTGGATCAGTTTTATATTTTTAACACAGAGATGACATCTTGAATTAAATTTTTATAATCTTAAAATAAATAAAATTATTTATTAGTTTAACAGTCATGGTTAAAAAAATAGGACTTTATCCATTTGTTTCAAAAAAAAAAAAAAAAATTTAATTTATTTACCTTTTTACCATTTTAATAAAAATTATTTTCCACAAGATCCTGTGATTAAATAGTTATACAATGGGATTCTTTGGGTTTTAAGGTGATTAGAAAGTAACATTTGTTTGTATAAATTTATGAGTGTGTATGTAAAGTTTGTGAAAAATAAAATTTATGAGCCTGTTTGTAAAATTTATGTGTGTATGTGAATATAAAAAATAAAACTTATGAGCGTGTATGTACACTTTGTATAAATTTATGAGTGTGTATGTAAAAAAAATTTTGAATTTAGAAAAACAACTATTACTTTAATTGAAATGGGAGCTCAAATTTCAAGTTGTGATGATTCAAGTTGGACTCCACTTGATTATGCTGTAAGTTATGGATATACAAAAATTGCATTAAAACTTATTAACAACGGTGCTAATGTGAATAGATATGATGCTAACCTAGTTACCCCTCTTCATCGAGCTTCATTCAATGGTCAAGTTGATTGTATAAATGTTTTGTTGAGTAATGGCGCAAGTATATCTTTTAAGAATAAAGATGGAAAGAATTGCTTAGATCTAGCTGTTGAAAACCATCATAAAGAAGCATGCATGATTTTTATCATGCATGAAAGGTTTGTATTTTTATATTTTACAATTGACTTTTTTATGTTTTTATAAGTATAATATACATAATATACATATAAAAATGATATACTCACATGTGTGTTTGTGTGTGCATATATGTACTATTGTTATTATTATTATTATTATTATTGTTATATATATATATATGTGTGTGTATACATAAATTTTTCAAAGAGTCAATTTTATTTATGTCTGCATCTAGTATCGTTCTTTTTACTATAAGAAACATTTTTTGTTTTGAAAGTGTTTAAGCAGCATATCTCTAAATTTTGCCAAATTTCATTTTAAGTCTGAATTATTTAAATAACAACACATAACACACAAAACTTCCATTATACTTGTTTTGTTTTTTAGAATGTTCGGTTGAATACTTACAAATAATGGTGTTATTTCAATAATGTATAATAATAATAATTTTTTTTTAAGAAAGTGTACAATTTTTAAATAATCGTTACTGAATAAATTTATATTATAATACAAAGTATCGTTATAAAAAATGAATTAATTTTACAGCTATATTAACTTTTGCATTCGTTTTTAAATAAATAAACAATCATCCTGTTCTATTGGTCATATTTTCTATTGGTCATAAAAGTCTTAGGGGTTATCCATAAATTATGGTCGTCTATAGTCATGCAGTTTTTGACATTTTTTGACCCCCTTCTTTCTTCCCTTGTAACTCATTGTAACACTTAATTGACCCTTTCCTCCCCCCATTATTATGCACTAATTTTGTACCCCCTTCCTCCCTTAAAAAAAATTTTTCAGGGAAGGGGGAGGATGGAGGTTTTACAAAATACAAAACAATTTTAAGTATAATAATGTCTATAATTTTTTGAGCTTGTTTGAGTTAACTAATTAGTACTTTTCAGTATGTTTAATGTTTTTTTCACCCCAATAGTTCCGTGTAAAATTGTATAAATTAACATTGCTACCTAAACATGATACCAATTTCAAAAAGCTATTCTTTCATTATATAATACATGCAAGACTATATATAATACATTTTAACACATAACAACATATTATACATTTAAAAATACTATTTTATGAATATAACTTTCTTGTAAGTGGTAGCAACAGCAAGGTTGAGTGGATTAAGCTTCAGGCTAGTAAACTAAAGGTTCAAGGTTTTTCTCTTGGTATCTTTCAGTAGCAACAGCATGGCCAAGTGGATTCTGCTTCAGACTAGTAAAATGAGGGTTCCGGGTTCATCTCTCGGTACTGATATTATTTTAATTTTTTTTAGTTAGTGTACAATTGTTTTTATTTTTGTTGTTGTTGCTGCACACTTTTGTGCACTAACAACATAAGTACTGCACTTAGGCCATAAAAAGTCAAAGCGCAGAAAGTGCACTGCACATAGACTTTACAGTCATAAAGGCCTGTTAACAGGCTGTAACTACTCTGAGTGTAAACATCGACTAAGTAAGATTTAGTCGTAGTTGAATTTACAATCAATATTTAGATCCATCAACTAAAGGTTTTGGTTTGGTCAGACTCTTTTAATTAAAAGAATGTGTTCTCTAGATTTAAAACTAAAAAAAAAAATAAAATATAAATATGAATGTTGTCTAATAGCAACCTTCTGTGTGTGTATTATTTATTTTATTTGCATTGTTTTTGTTTTGTTTTGTTCATGGACGCTCTCCTTGATTTAGCCTAGCTATATGAGAGTAAATCATTTAGAATATATGCTGTACATATATTTTTTTTAACTTATAATATTCTTATGTAAAGCATCTATATTTCTGGTAAGTATATTTCTTTTTGTTGTTGTTGTTATTTTTAGTTGTACTGGATTGAAAATTTTGATTTCGGATTTGTCAGAATTCCGGAATCGTATTTGCCAAAGTTCCAGAATTCAACAAAGTTGTCGTTTGGAAGAGCCTTGAATTGAAGATTATACTCTATTTTATTAACACCAGAAAAAAATATTCCCACAGGATCTACAAATTCAGTATTACATGATGTTGGTCCATCAATTCTATCTATTAGGTGATGCAAAAATATCTCATTTGACCTTATAGCTTTTCAAGGTGCGCTACACTACCACCTCACCAGCTAGTTTTAGTTGAAGTAGTATCTGCTCTAATACTAAACATGATTCAGTAAGATTATGTACTAAACATGATTCAGTAAGATTATGTTGTTTTAGTAAAAAATAAACATCTTTAACAATCTTTTTATCTGGCTTATCTGGATGAATAGGTGCATTTCGGGGTAAAATGACCAAGATATTGACTGCCAGGTTTTAAAGTCATAGTAATGTGTTGCTCCTTAATAATGATAGAATGTAACTATCCTTTTAAATCATTGATAATTACTCTTGTTGAATCTTTCCTTCCATCAAAGTAAGGACCAATTTTATTTAGTATTTCAAAAATTTTTAATTATGGTGTTTTTTCTTGACTTCTTATCAAAAAATCTTGTTACAAGGAAAGCATATATGTCTAAATATATATATATATATATATATATATATTATATATATATATATATATATATATATATATATATATATATATATATATATATATATATAATATATATATATATATATATATATATATATATATATATATATATATATATATATATATATATATATATATATATATATATATATATAATATATATATATATATATATATATATATATATATACAAAATTCTACCGCTGTATTTATATATATATATATATATATATATATATATATATATATATATATATATATATATATATATATATATATATAAAACACTTACGGGGACATTAGCATTATTGGGCACATTTTATTGTACCTGGTAATTTTTTTGTCACCATTAGCATTATTTTTTTTTGTAAAAAAATATCCCCATAAGCAACTGTTATAGAGAACAAAAAGTACATGCATTGACTTTTAAATAGCCTGACTTGCAAGGAATTGCTGCTATATCAATTGAGGGTTTGGTATGACCAAGCATCAAGGTCAGGCTTAGGGTTAACGTTACTGCTAGGTTTAAATGTAGTTAATACTGTAAGTAATTGTTTTTGTAAATAGATGAAAATAAAAATGAAATATAATATATAATAAATAAAAATAACAAAAGTCAATATAACGAATATATTTTTATAATAAAATAATAAATTTAAATATGTATAAATAAAAATAAAAATGTGATAAAAACTAAAAGATAATTATATTTATAATAAAAACAGTATAGAAAAAGTAAAAAAAAAACAACAAAATGGGAACAAAATAACATGTCCCCGTAAGTGGCGACTAGGAGGGTATATATATATATATATATATATATATATATATATATATATATATATATATATATATATATATATATATATATATATATATACATATATATATATATATATATATATATATATATATATATATATATATATATATATATATATATATATATATATATATATATATATATATATATATATATATATATATATATATATATATAATTATTATTTATTTTGAAGTAATTAATATTTATTTCTTCAAACTACTTATACTTACCTTAAAAAACAATTACTTATCCTGTAGTTTTTTTATTCTTTTTCTGACTTTTCTCGTTTTATTTTTTATATATTTTATTGTCTCAATTTTATCAGCATGTCCCATTTGCATGTCAGACTTTTCATGTCTTATTTCTTTGACTGAGTAAATATTTGTTTTGGTGTATATTCCTTTGTTCTTTTAATAAAATTCCTTTTTGAATAACTGCTCTGTTTGCAGGTTCACTTGGAACAAAATTGTTTCCAGATCCAATAAACTCTGAAGTTTTAGTGATGGATGAATGTTTAGTCTTAGCTTTTGATATAATTTTTAATAATAAATAATCAATAACTCAATTAAATAACAAGTAACAAATCAAATAATAAAAGACTTCAATCTTATAATGTTTTTAAAAGCTCAGTTAAAATCTATTTTAAAATTGATTTGGCTCTCTTCATTAGTCTAATACATAAAAATGGGTTGTATTTATTTTATACTTATTTAGTTTTATTTTATTTTAATAAAATCTAAATGTGAAAATTTGGGTACCAAGATATTTCCTAATCAAAAAGTGGTCCATAACAAATCTACCTTGAAATTTAATTTTACTTGAGAATATTCTTTTTCCTAAGCTTCGATTACATTTTTTCAAAAACATAAGAATCTCACTGTACCTTTATGCATGTACCAATGTACCCTGTACCAATACTCCTCCCTCACCTTATGATTTAATTTTGTATACACATATGTTTGAAATAATGTTTTTTCTTTATATCTTTTTACGAATAAAAAAATAATATTAATTAGTAAAGTATTGTTGCATTTCAAAAGTTTGTTCTATAAATGGAACCATATATTCTTTAGGGTTAATCTCTGTTAAACAGTTTATATAACGCAAAGTAAAGCCTTTCTTGGTGATTATTATGGTGATTATTATTATTTTAGATCATAATTAATGTAAAAATAAATAATATAACAATAAATTAAACAATAAAAGTTTATCCATATAAAGAGTAATAACATAGTAAAAATAGTAGTTTGTAAATACATAAAAGCAAAATGAGACAACTGCTTATACATTACATATAAAATCCACATAAAATACAGGCTAAATTGAATGAGTTTTAGTTTTAGTAAAAAAAAAAAAAAAAAACATTAAACAAAAATTTATCTTTTTTTTTAAAGTTTATTTATGAAAAATTTTACATTGTTGTAAAATATTACTTATACTATTAAAAGTACAATTCAACAAGTTTGATAACGATACATCTGATAAAATCTGAATTATATGATCTGTACAATATTTGGTTTGGATAACAACATTGGTCCAGCATTTAGCTCCATGTAACTGGTGCATTCAGTGCTCATAGGTCATATTGGTCATATATATTAATTCAATGGTTATGTGTTGAGCCATAATTTAAAAAAGAGGGCTAGTATATTGTAAGCATGACATTAGGCAAACTAAACTTTTTATTATTTGAACATGTATAAGTAATAATGTGAAAAAAAAAGAAGTAAGAAATATTATTTTAATTTAATATTTTTGGGTTTTTGACTAGGAAAACATATTAGGTAAATCATTGAATATGATTTTGTATTTTGTTGTCAAACTTATTTACAAATTATTTTGTGAACTTGTTTTTTAAATACACTATAATTTTACAGATGGGAAGAAGCTCTCAGCAATATTGATAATGAAGGGAAGAATCCAATGGAAAAGCTTATATCATTTGCACCAGAAATTGCTGCAATTGTGTTAGATAAATGTATTAAACGTTCACAATTTGATAAAAGCTCAAAGGAATATAGTATAAGTTACAATTTTAAATATCTGGATTTTCCACCTGACCATCACTTGAGAAAACAATATTTTGGACCTTCAAGCATGATTGCTTTTAATTGTGAAAACTTACTTTCTCATTCGCTTACTGTTCAATTACTTAAAGATAAGTGGTTGCGCCTTGGCTGGTGGATTCATTTAATTAGCTTGTTTATTTACATCTTGTTTGTGTGTTTGCTTACAAGTGTACTTCTTGTTGACAAAGCAAAGCAAGAATTTTTTTTTAGTTTATTTTTTCTTTATTTCTCTTTTTTATTATTTTTTTATTATTAGTTTTTAGAACTTTTAATATTTTTGTCATTGAGTGTTTGAATTTTTGTCTGGAATTAAAATTTTCATAGATTTCACTCCCCAATTAGTCAAAGAAAGTCAGTATTAATTACAAAAATCAAACATTAAGTAAGTGTAACTGTATGTGCAAACCTGGCAAAAAAGGAAAACATGTAGTGTTGTTTTAACATGAAAATCTTATGTTTTTTTTTTATATTTGGTTATTTAAATAGGTTGTATATTCCATAACTTAGTATAAGGGTTATTCCGTATAAAATCATACGGATTAGAAAATTTCAGCTTGATTGACAATTTAAGTTCTTGTACCTCAAAGTTGCTAAATAACGCAATATTAGAAAAAATTTGAAAACTTTAATGTGCTTCAGTTCAATACCAACAGACAAGCTGTGCCAATATTTTGTTACTTTAGTGTACTTAGAGTAACCACTTTGCATTCACCTTGTACGCATAGAAAGTAGCATAGACAGTTAAAATAAGTTATGAAACTTTTGACTTACAATATTCTATATATTGACAATCACCAAAAAAAATTTAAAGACCTATACTCTATATTATGACATGATTGTAGCCCTATGAGTTAGATGTATATTTTTATTTTTTCCTGAATAAATATAATCAGTTTTTCCTAAAAGAACATTATCAGTGTCTTAGCTTAATTTATTTGATATGATTTTATAATAAGTATTTGTTAAATTTTATGCATATAATATAATTATAATGATATAGTAAAATACTTTAATTGCTTCAAGGGTTTTTATTAAAGTCTAAATCTGCACAGTATTTTCGGGATTTTATTATTTTAGTTTTTAGTATTACAAGAACCAAAAAATTAATGGTTTTGTGTATGCAAAAATAGTTATATGTAGAAATAGTTTATTGGTTGCACTTTAGACAGTTTTAATCACATTTGTACTTGAGATATCATTTTTAATGATTTTATTACTGAAAAATAGAAAAAAGTTTTTTTTTTTATTATAATGTTACATGTTTAACCCTCTATTTTAATATTTTTAGATTAGTCAAGATAAAGCTGCTGAAGAAGATTTTAGTTGTTCAGACCTTGATAAGACAGTTTTTAATAAGAGTGTGTCTTTATTGGAAATATCTCGACTCAAAAATGTAAGAAGATGCGACAAATTAGAATATGGAAAGCAAAAAGCTTAAAAAATAACAACAAGTATGATAAACCTAGTAGCGTCAGCATTGAATAAAGACCTAAAAGATATAGTATCGGAAAAAGACCAAAAATGTATAAACTGTAATGATTTAGAAAAACTGTTAGATGCAATAAAAAATAAAATGAAAACAAGTTTGAACAAAGAAAAAATTCAACTAATAATGCTAACTCCTGATAGTTGATCAATTGAAAAAACTTTTTTTTTCTTAACAAGTTGTTTCAGAACATCTTGTTAAGGAAGCTCAAAAGTTTAAAAATGAAAAAGGAATACTTGCTAAACCTGAGGCTAAAATAGGACAGCCTTTGGTAGATATTGTTAAACAAAAAGTCATTGAAGTTTATAAAACCGAAGAGTTCACAAGACATAGTCCAGGAAAAGTTTTTTTGAGTTTATTGAAACTCTAAGTGAGACTTTGTATTATTTTATGACCTTTGTTACCACCATTTTATCAAAGAATCACATAGCCTCCTACCTATCTTTGGCAAAAAGAACATTAGATCAACACACTTGTCTTATTCTTATGGATTTTGCCTAGAACTATAGTTTTCTTGTGCAAGATGCTGTACAATTATTTTACTGGCAAGCCGATCAGCTACCTTACATCCATTTGCTGTTTATTACAAAAATAAAAAAAATTAACTTGAATGTGAATGCTATTGTACAATTTCTGACCATTTTCACCATGACCAAACAACAGTTCATTGTTTTTTCACAAAGTTACTCCCTATGGTCAAAATCAAACTACCCACAATCGATAAAGTAAATTACTTCAGTGATGGTGCTGTGTTACAGTACAAAAATTACAAATGTCTGTTAAACTTAATGTATCATCTTGAAGATCACAATATAAATGCTGAGCATCACTTTTTTTCTATATCTATGTAAGGTAAAAGTCTATTTGATGGAATAGGAGGAACTATAAAAAGAGAAGCAGCAAAAGCAAGTCTATGAGCAGCAAATGCAAACCAGATTCTTACACCAAAAAAACTGTTTACATGGGCTCAAAAAAAGATTAAAGTGTTAATATATTTTACATTTCAAGTGACGATATCAATAACCATGAAACTTATTTTATCCTAAAGAAAAGATATGAAGAGACAGGCACAGTTCCAGGCACAAGAAGCTATCACAGTTTTGTACCAGGTTGAGAGAATTTATTTTTACAGAGAATCTCTAGCGATACTGTCTATGATACCCATTTGCTGAATAATATTAACTTAGCAAATAGTATTCTTTAAACCTTCAACCTAATAAATATGTTGCATGCTTTTACGATGATGAATAGTACATAGTGCTTGTTCTTAAGACTTGTAATGAAAACCAAGATGTCAATATAAAATTCATGCATAGAAACAAATTAAGTTTAAGATGGGCTAATGATGCACAATCAAGTCAGTGTTGGGTTCCATTTGACAAAGTAATATGTCAAATAAGTGCTCCATCCATTAAGGGTGACAATAAATTTGTTAATAATGATTATGACATTATTATGAGTTATGTAAATCAGAGATAAAGAAGTTAGTGTACTTGTGTTTTATGTGTATATACACTTCTTCTTTTTGCATTTTTATTTTTTTGAAGTATAATATAACTTCGCTATTAGGTATCCTTTTATATTAAAAAAACATTGCACTTAAAATGTTTAAACTGTCATAAGATAGGGTATAGGTCTTTAAATTCTTTTTAGTGATTTTCTATATATAGAACCTTGCAAGTCAAAAGTTTCATAATATATTTTAACTGTCTACGCTACTTTTTATGCCTACAAAGTGAATGTAATTTATTGTATTTATTAAAAAAGTGATATTTTAACAGACTGCTGCAAGTGTTAAAATAACTTATAACACTTAGTTTTAATTTTTTCCACAAGTGGTTCCTCTAATTACAAGAAAAAAAAAAAAATTGGCACAGCTTTTCTGTTAGATAATTTGGGTGAAAAACTATTACCCCTAAAAATTTCAGGTGATCTTCAATTTTATTTAAAATCTGTTAAAAATCGAAAAAATCTACTGTAAGCTCCAGATACTCAGTTTTTTCCAATTTTGGTCAATATTAATTCAGTTATAACTTTTGAACAGTTTGGTCAATCAACTATCTTACTTTACCATTATACCATTTGTCCATAGAAGCATCTGGTTCAAATTTGATAATCTCGGTATCGCCTTCACTTTTCTAAAGTAGAAGTTCCAAACAATCTTGCCCGAGACAGCTTCTCCAGTCATTTTTTATCATTTTCATAAAGAAAAACATTCATTCTATTTTTGCATTTGTAAATAGACAAATTAAAAATAGTTCAAATATATCAAGAATATTTCAACATTCCTTGACCAAATTTGGTTTTTAAAAAATAATTGTTACTTATAATTGGAAACATATATGTTTTTAATATTATCCTTTTAGAAAGTATATTATACAAGTCACATCCTACACCAATAAATAAATCTGAAAAACAATCAACAATTTAACTGATAGCATTTTTGTCAAGAGTACTATCTTTTGCACTTAATGGCCAGTTAAAATCAACAACTAAAGCTACTAAATCGATAAACAATGGTGATTTTCGAAGAGATTAAAAACCCATTTCCATACTTATGTAAATATTTGTATTAACTAGTTTGTATTGCTCAAGAACCTTGCTATAAACTTCGCTATATTAAGAAAGTGTAACATTTTGATAACCATATTTTGAATCAATAATTTCTATATCTTTATACAGTTTTCTATAGTGGGTCATGGCACTTGTGTCATCAAGCAAGTTGTCTATGGATTTTTCAAGAATAACTTGCAGCTTAGCCATTGTCCATGTAAATTCTTGATTTCTTTTTACCACTTTTACCGGATTATGAATATTTCTTTGAAAACTTAAACTCAAATAGGAGATAACCATTGGGATATATGAATAGGGACTGATGCATTTTTCTATTGTTTAAAAATCTTTTTTAACTCTACTCTTTTTGATATTTGGGAGTCTGTTGGGGCTATTGATTCAATTTAAGTCCTAAACACACTTTAATTTTTTAAGCAATTTTCATTGCTCTGTACTTATGATCAATCCATCAAATTCCACAAGCTTTTGTTGGTTTTGGAACACTATTACCCCAGGTTTCAACTAATTCTTGTAGTTTATTGAATGTTTTGGTGACTTTCGATTCAAATAATATAGTTGTAATAATTGTTCATCAACAGTTGTTATCATATTAAAAATATGTAAAAATTACATCTTTTATTGATCATATGCGGATGTTGCGCCGCTGTTATTTTTATGTCTTTGTTTATGTCTTGCCGATGAGCAGCTGCCTATTAAAAATTTGTCAAATTTACATCTTTATATAATTTTGTAAACTTATTTTTGATGCCGTGGCAATGTTAACATGATGTCTATGTGTTATCTGGTTTCTAATTTAAAATTATATTTTAACTAAAGATTTATTAAAATCCATATTTTTATTAGTTTATATAGATAACAGTTTATATAGATAAATGTTATATAGATAATTAACTTTTATAAATTTATATAGATAAGTTTTAAATTAGTTTGAATACAAACTGATTATGAACTGAGCTTTGAGGTTTATCAAAAATTAAAAAAATACTTATAAACATCAATTTTTTTTTCCAACATAACATCAATGCCCAATTTTGTTAAAAAATGAGGTAATTCAGTTTACTTTACTCTAAAGTAATAAAAATAATAAAAGAAATTATGAGCAAATTTAAAACTATAATATATATATATATATATATATATATATATATATATATATATATATATATATATATATATATATATATATATATATATATATATATATATATATATATATATATATATATATCCTTATATCATAGTCGAAAGAGACTTTTAATGTAAAATAAGTCTCTTTTGACTGCAATTTTGCTACTTCAACAATTAAGCAAGTTTTATTGTTGCCAAAATGTCAAAGAAATTAAATTAATGCAGAAGTACATTAAATTTTATTGTTTTTTAAAAAAACTGCAATAATAATGGCTAGAAAGTTTTTTTTAATTAATGGTGTTTTTTATTTATGTTTTTTTTTTTTTAAACATCTTTGCTTCCAATAAGGCTCCAAGTAACCACTAATTAGTGTTGGAAGTTATTGGAAGAGAAAAGATGAAGACTGTAGAGCAAGATAACGATTAACAGACAACTTAAAAGATTGCAAATTATATGAATCAGGAAAGCAAGATGGAGGAAGGGAATTCCAAAGAACTGATGTTCGAGGAAAAAAACAAGATGAATAAGAGTTTTTGGAGCGCTTAGGAACAGTAACAGAAAAACGATAAGACTTAATTGAATAATGAGTAACACAAAAGTGAATTTTAGATGGCACAAGAGATGCTAGCTCTTTAGAGCAGTACCCATTATAGTATTTGTAGAAAAGAGAAAGAGAAGCAACATTATAACGATGTGATAATGGTTGAAGAATGACTGCAAGAATAGGTTCAAATATGTTTATAATGCGTTTTTACACCTTGTCTAAAAGAGAAAGGGCATCATTAGAAGATCCGCCCCAGATATGGCAACAGTATTCCATACAAGGCTGAATTTGAGATTTATAGAGATAGAGAATAGAATCCAGAGTAAAAAAGTGTTAAGCTCGATAAAGAGATGCAGCTTTAGCAGATGCTAATTTTGCAACGGATTTGATATATGGTTTCCAAAAAAGATCAGAAGTAAGAATGGATCCTAGAAGATGAAGGGTAGATGACTCATTGAGTACATTACCGTTCATAAATATAGGAAGGTCTAAATTATTGCAATAATGATTGGCTGAAAAAAATTGAGTTTTATCTGAATTAAAGTTCACCAGCCACTGTGAGCCCCATGCTGTTTTATAGCCTGCTGCTACAAGAGAGTGTTGCTACATCGACTATCTTATAGCCTGACTTGCAACGGAGTGTTGCTACATTGACTATCTTACAGCCTGACTCGCAAGGGAGTGCTGTTACATTGACTAACAAACAGCCTGACTCGCAAGGGAGTGCTGCTACATCGAATGAGGGTTTGGGCAGGCAGTCTATCATTTAAGAAAAAAAAAACTACTTAAGTTTTTAAACCTTTTCTGGTTTGGTTTATTAATGTATCTTTAAAATATTTATAAAGCTACAGTTTATGCAAAAAACTTTCTGATTACCATACAAGAATCTATATGTATATATTTATATATATATATGCATATATATATATATATATATATATATATATATATATATATATATATATATATATATATATACATAAATATATATATATATATAAATACACATATATATATATATATATATATATATATATATATATATATATATATATATATATATATATATATATATATATATATATATATATATATATATATATATATATATATATATATATATATATATATATATATATATATATATATATATATATAAGATCAGAAGTAAGAATGAATCCTAGAAGATGAAGGGTAGATGAGTACATTACCGTTCATAAATATAGGAAGGTCTAAATTATTGCAATAACGATTGGCTGAAAAAAATTGAGTTTTATCTGAATTAAAGTTCAACAGCCACTGTGAGCCCCATGCTGTAGAAGAAGTGAGATCTTTTTCAAGCTCAAATGCCCCCTGCAAGCAATCAGAGAGAGTTGGCTTCTTATCATGACAAGAGTAAACGGTAGTATCATCACCGAACAATGCCACCTCATATGAGAGAATATCTGGAAGATTGTTAATATAAGTTAAAAAGAGTATAGGGCTAAGGATTGAACCTTGAAGAACCCCTGAGGTTACTTTTCAAGGACAAATTTTATACTACGATTAAAAAGTGAGGATTCAATAATCTTAAAGACGTTTCCAGATGCACTGTAAGAAGAAAGCTTATTGAGAAGACCAGCATGCTAAACATTATCTAACTCTTTAGAAATGCCAAAAGCGATGACCTTAATCTCTCCACCTTTATCTAATATAAATAATCTAAAACCATAAAACCTATCGGTTATTACTGTAAGCAAATCAGCCATAGAACAAGAAGATCAAAATCCATATTGATGGTCAAAAAGTTATTAGATTCAAGATGAGAGATTAAGTGTTAATTAGTTAAAAATTCAAAAACCTTGCTTATGATAGGAAGAAGACTAATGGGACTGTAGTTGGACAAATTTGATTGCTTTCCAGAATTTTTAAAAATAGGTATAACAGATGCTGCTTTCCAGCAGGCTAAAAAACAAGACTCTAACAGGTATGTTGTCCGGGCCACAAGCTGTAAAAGGGTCTAAGCAGGAAATTTCTTTAGATACAGAGGCTGAAGTGATACAAATGTCAAGCAATTGATCAACCTGTTTGACAGCTACATTAAATAGAACGCAACTAGTTGAATCAAGAGATGATATTGATGAAAAGTTCTTAGCAAACAATTCAGCTTTGTCTTTAGGTGAGGTGACAAAGTCTGAAACATACAAAAGAGGTGAAATTACAGACTTGCCCTTATTATTGGTACTATTAAAGTTTCTCCAGAAGTCACAAGAGCCTAATTTTTGTGATGAATAAACGAGATTTCATGACCTGAGAATAGTGGGCTTTGGGATTAGACAAAACCTTTTTACAAAAATTCCTAGCAATAATAAACAGACGTCTGTTTTCTGTAGAATTGTTTTG